ATTGTCCATTTCCACCAACTTTGCAGCACCCTGCATTCAACACTTTAAATCCTGCATGCATCCAAATAATATTAATTTTCCCTTCAATTATTAAATATGGACCATGCATTTCATGCTTTACTATATAATAAAGAATTATGATACAAACGAGAGTACAATAGTGTAGTCCTTGTCAACTCAAGGGTCTTGTTTGGTTTGGGGTTGGTCCCCCTCTAATCCAAGTTATCAAGCCCAAAACTGTTGGCCATGTGTTTCTTCCCGTCACAAATTATAAAACAATTTAAAAAAATTTTATTATCTCAAAATATAAAATAATTTGATAAAAATAAGATTTTATTAATAATATCTTTACAATATTATTCTTCAAGTAAAAGAGAGAATTTGAAATGATAATGTAGCATTATTTTTAAAAATTTATATTTTTATTTTGAAAAAAGAAAGTTTATAAAGTGTCATTATTATATTTTATTGGTATGTATAATCTTATATCAAATTGTTTTATAATTTAGAATGGAAGGGAATATTTTTTTAGATTACCTTTTTTTAATTATATATTTTTTTACTTACAAAATTACTCCCTCAATTCAAAAATATAAGACAATTTTTGAAGAGTTAAATATTTAAAAATGTAAGGCATTTTTAGTCTTTTGAGGTGTAATCATTATTTTTTTTCAAAAGCGACCCTATTGATAATACTTTATGTTTATTGTAGAGTGTTTCATATGAGTAAATATAAAAAAATAAGGTTAGTTAAAAAGTAGGTAACTGCTTTATTGGAGGGTGAAATTCAATTAAAAATATCTTAAATTTTTGAACGGATGGAGTATTTATTTTTAATGAGCGTTTCAGTGAAAGTAATATTTAAAATTCTTTATTTTCAATAACATTTAATAATTTAATTTACATAAATTTATTTTTCATTAATTACATACATAAATATATGTTAGGTTACTCTTTCCTAAAGTCATGACAATCTAAAAAATAGAAGTAGCTAAGAATACTTACCAAGTGAATGATTGAGTGTCCAAGCGGTGCTGTTGATGAAGATAAATTTGGAATCAGAGAGCTGATTATTGAATTGATCCACAAGAGATCTAAGGTTTGAGTTAAAGATTAGAGCAGCTTTATTCATCTCATCAATACACGACGACGACGACGACGGTGAGTTCTTATTTGTAGAAATTGCCATTGGGGTGCACCCTATGGCTCCTAAACCCACCAATACAAACTTCCTTCCTCCAAGTTCATGCATGGCCTACGTCCCCACAAAACTCATTGACAATCATTTTCTTCATTATAATGCATTTCACAAAATTACGGATGACTTTGGAGCTTGTATATGATTTCCAGTTGTAAGATTTCTGACAACTTAGAATTATATATGGATGTTCAAATAATAGAATATTAATCTATAAAAACTCATATTATAAGTAATAACATATTCCCTCTAGTCCTAATTCTTATCCTAGGTCTTAAACTAAATATAGGACAAAGATGTAGTAGTTAATTATATTTTTTTCAATATTGTCCCTTCTTGATTACACCAAGTTGTTGGCAAACTTTTAATTCTTATATGCATTTTATTAAGGTATATTGGAAAGTCAAATATTTTTTACAAGTTTAAGGATTTTAATTACCATTCCTTAATAATTGTGAAGTACCAGAAGGAATATATATACTCTCCCCATTTTAAAATATAAACAAATTTTAATTAACTCACATAGTCTAAGAAAATTGGTTAATTATAACAATTATGTCTAAAATTTAAAAGTTTAATTTGGATTAAAATGTCCTTATTATTAATCCTTCATTTTTTTCTAATTTAAGGATATTATCATTAATGAAGGACAATGAAAGAAAGATGTTATAAATGTTTTTTGAAATTATTGTTTTGCTTATGAAAAAACAACAAACTATATAAAAGTTTTGTTTATATTTAAAAATGGAGGGACAACAAACTATATAAAAGTTTTGTTTATATTTAAAAATAGAGGGACTATGTAAATAAATTTGCCCTTTGACTTGCTCTTTATGTTTAAAAAATAAATAAATAAGAAGAAGAACCTTTGACTCAGGTTACATAGATCATAACGCCGATATCCTAGACATGAATCACATGTTTCCAGATGAATCTCATAATTATAATTACAGTTAATAGAGTTCCATAACATAACTACACACAATGAATGTACATATGTGTCCAGACAAAAGATTCATTTATGTTTTCAGCAACATGCAATGTTTAATATTGGCATTTCGCAATAAGCAAAACAAATCTCAATTGGAGATAATTAAATAGAGATAATGAAACTTTTGGTCACCCATATTCGTTTCAATTATCCTTTTGGTCCTTGAGATTTAAGTTTTATCAATCAAACCCATAAAGTTATTTCTTATAGTTGGAAGGGAAATTAAAATAACACCATTAAGAGTAGCATGCATAAGCAAATGAAAATTTAGGAACTTGACTGATAAAGATTAAACTTCAAGGAACTAATTAATAAATGAGACAAATTAAACTTAAAAGGATTAAAAATTTTATTATCCTATACATTAGATTATATATATAAGTGAAATTTCTTTCAAAATTAATTAATTAAAGAGACTGTTTTCAATATTGCCTGTCTCTGCAATATAGTTAATTTGATATGCATGCATATATAGTACACATTCAAAATTGACATGCCATATAAATTTTTATCTTTAGTAAGATCCAGGGAGCAGCAGAAACCATTAAATAATATATGTTACCCTTAAAGTGAGAGAATAATTTTGAATAAGATCCACAGCATACTGGTGAAGGGTAAAGAAATTGCTGGTAGGGAATACTGAGGCAAGAAGTAGTTGTTAATGTAATCATTGCTTCCAATATTGAAATAGTATAAGCACTTGTTGAGATATCCTCTTGCTTTCTCAAAGCCTCCCAGTTTAGCTGCTATTTCTGAAACTATTTTCTGTGATTTTCTAGCTGTAAACCCAAGCTTATATCCGCACCCTGCAATTCATGCATGGTCAACCACTGGTACGTAGTTTTAATAATGATATGCAATTCTGAAAATGCTCGAGAGTGTCTCAACACAAACTCATTCTCCAATCAGCATTTAAATAAATAAATCCAAGAAGAAACTAGATAGAAGAAACTAGTTAAGTCATTTCTAACATGATTTACTAGAATCAATAAAAAATCTTAAACTGATTAACTTTGTCTAAAATCTTAATTAATAAGTTTCAATCTTATTCTTGTTAAATATGTATATATATATATATATATATACCTTAATAATATACTTTCTCTCATTACCAAACATTTAATGAAAGAAAAAATTGGAAAAAAACTTATAATAAAAAATCAATGACTAATAGATAGAACCAAAAATTATTTTTTCTCCACCTTATAAATAGGATAGAAGTGGTAATCACTTAGAATGAAAACAATAATATATATATATATATATTAAGATGTTTAAGTGTAAATGGAGTTGAATTGATGTGAAAAGTTTATATCAAAATAGAGTTGGGCTTAATGGTAATGCATAGTGTAGATGATAAAGTTATACTTAAGTAATATATGATAAAGTGAAATAATCTACAAACTGAAGTTTGGAAGAGTTAAGCTGTGCTGTTTTTCCCTTCTTATTGCCATTTACTCTCTTCGCATTTCCAGGTAGTGGCACCCATTCTCAACACCACACACACACACAGAGGAGGATACAACATGAATGAATATTTTTGTATGCTAACTTTTCTGATCCTAAAAACAAAACGTGTGTGAAGCAATTAAAAGAGTCACACACACCACGTACCAGTTGCGTGCTGTCTCCACGCGAATTCCAGCAGCGCCAGAAGCGTAGTTCACCCCTTTGAGTATGTCAGAACCACCAATTTTTGCAAACGGAGGTATTAGCTCCTTCGACCCCACAAGTTCAGCTTGCAATATATATGTATATATGTATATATATTTAAACCATTATTTAAGCTCATCAACATTGAAAAATTTGACATTCAAAGTTAACATAACGACTAGTTAGACCTAATTATAAATAGATGGTAAACTATTAGTGCAGTTTTTTCTCCATAAACCTACCTGCATTATATTATATCTAGTTAGTGCATGAGAATAATATTTATAGTTACCTTTTGTTGATTAATATAAGTAACCAAAATTCATGGAAAATAAAATGTTAACGGAGATTAAAAAGAGAGATTGATAGATTACTAATAATGTCAATGGAAGTTCGGCCATTGGTGAATCTTCCAGTCGGTCCATCTGGGAAATCAATTCCATATGGCCTGTATGTGACTTTTGCAGAGGTACGAAGGTCGTTGTTGTTT